AGGTTAGTTGAACTTTTGGATGTGTAGGTTAATTAAAAATATCTGATTAGAAATATTAATTAGAAATATCTGCTGCCTCCTGCACGCACCCTGACTGGGGATTGAACCCACAATCTAGGTATGTGCCCTGATTGGGAATTGAATCTGAAACCTTTTGGTGTATGGAGTGATGCTCCAACAAACTAAGCCATCCAGCCAGAGCTTCTTTTGCTTCTTTACACATATTTTTCTTTAGTTCATTGAACATATTTATAATAGCTGCTTTGAAGTTTTTGCTAAGTTGGGGATCTGGGTCCTCTCACAGAGAATTTCTGTTGGTTGCTTTTTTCCACCCATGTATAATCACAATGCACTTTCCTGTTTTTTGCAGGTATAATAATTTTTTTGTTATATACTGGACATCTATATATATAAAAGCCTAAGCGACCAGCCGACTGGCTGACTGTTCGACCAGCTGACAGGTAGCTATGACACGCACTGACCACCAGGAAGAAAATGCTCAATGCAGGAGCTGCTGAGCTGCAGTAATTTGGCAGCTGTGATTCTTGGGTGCTATACCTGGAACTAGGGAGAAGGGAGCCTGATTCTGATGTCCATAACCCAAGAACTGCCCTTGCCCATCCAGGACCCCTTGGGGGATATCAGAGAGACAGTCTTGGCCCAATCCCCATAGTCCAGGCCAAGGGATACCACTGGTGCATAAATCTGTGCACCAGGCCTCTAATTTTAGATAGTGTAATGTAGCAACTTTAGATATTGATTCCCTCAACCTTATTGCTTATTTTTGAGCTTATAAACTTACTGTTATAGTTTGCTTTTTTGCTTGTTTAGTGACTTAGCTATATTATTTTAATAAATTCAATTTCCCTGCAGCTTGAAACCTCTAATGCTGATCCTTAGAATATGCATGCTTGGTCGTGTGCACAGTCATCCTGGGATGACAGTGATTTTAGCACAGCTCTCTTGCACTGTCTCTATCCTTCATTGTCTGTCTCTATTGGTATAATCACCAGCTGTTAGGCTTCATTAGTTGCTAACTAACCACTCAATTGTTTTCAACAGTGCTCTGGAGCATAAATTGCTCCACAATTTGATCCAGAGGTAGTTTTTGAGGCCAGACTTTGAGATTTATTCTGACCCTGGGAGGGCTCTTCTTAGATGTCCTTTTTTTATGGTTCTCTCTGGTACACTAGCTAGCCTACAGTCTAGCTTGTTGCAACCAGCTTCCTCTTAATTGCATATTACCAAAATATCCATTGTTTTCCAGAACTCTCTTCAGCGTGACTTCCCCAAACTCTGTTCCAAATAAAGTCTGTTCTCTTGTGGAGAGCTTCAGAACTCTCCTTATCACCTGCCTCTTCCCCTGGGCAATATCTCTTGAGATTCTGCTCTAAAACTGGGGACAGGGAAAACAACCACTTCTCTTGGAGTGATAGCTTTGCTTTATAAGCAGGCCACTGAGTGGCAGCAAGTAGCCTTTGGTCTTCTTGGCTTTTATCTCCCTTTGTGGAACAAGAACTTCAAATGGTTGTCTTAAAAGTAATTTTCACCAGTATGGTTATTTTGCTGAAGCGTGGGTCTTTGGAGCTCCTTACCGTTCTGGAGATTGTCCCCTAATATCATCTTAATAACAGCAAACCCTTTCTTAAACTGCTAACAGTATTTTATGGACTTCTACCCAGAATTTGGTTTCTGATTTAAAATAAGTGCAATATGAAGACTACATTGGAGGTGAATTGGAGATAAAGATACTGATAGATTACCCCAGACCAAATGAGGCTCTGAGAACCATCTCCCTTGTGCATTCCACGCACCAGAATACCAAAAGATACTGATCAAAATAAACCACTAAGCCAGGAATTAGGTGACAAACTACTACTTCTTAGTTTTCTTTCTGGTTTTCTGGGTGACCATAAGTAACCCAGGCAACATACTCTGAGCTCTAGTTCCCAGGAATAGTATATTGCGTTAAAAGTATTTGTCTCACTACTGGTGTCCAAAATAGGGAATGTAATGTAGATTGTGTTTATGATGGAATTATTTCACTAAATCTTCCCTGGTCCTTTTCCCTCTGCTGTCTCTTGTGACTGACATCATGCATCTGGGAAGTAGCTGTCTGTACATTAAAAGTTATTGCTGTTTTGGATCTGTGAACTCCAGGCAGAGCCTTGGTCTATAATCACAGTTTTCTAAATACTTGTTGGATAAGGAAATAAAGTCACAATGGCTTATCTCCTCCCTCACTAAATGTTTTAATTTGTGAAAGAAAAGGGAGTGGGAACTTGGAATTTTCTGATCATAGTCTAATTCTAAGCCAGAATTATGTCTCATCTTACCCAGACACTTATCATTTTTGGTTACTTAAAATGAAGTTGGTTCAAAGCCCAGGTCCAATGACTTCACTGTTTAATTTTACCACAATATAAAGAATTAATAGAAATTTTTCACAAACTCTTCCAAAAAATAGAAGAGGAAGGAACACTTCCCAATTCATTCTTTGAGATCAGTATGATCCTTATACCAAAACCAAACATCACAAGAAAAGTACAGAACAATATTGCTTTATGAATGCAGATGCAAAACTGTTATGCTAGAAATTAAAAATAGCAGCATATAAATATGACTATACACTCTTAGGGACAAAAACATGGAACAAAAACTTCATAACACTGAATTTAGCAATGCTTTCTTGGATATGACACCAAAGGCATAGGTAACAAAAGGAAAAATAAACATTAAACTTAATGAAAATTAAACATTTTTGTATATCAAGACACTATATACAGAGTAAAAAGGCAACACACAGGAGAAAATATTTTCAAATCATATGTTTGGTAAAGGATTAATATCCAGAATATATAAAGAACTCCTAAAACTCAACAAAAACACAAGCAAACCAATTTAAAATGAGCAAAGGACTTGAATAGACAATTCTCCAAAGATATGCAAATGACTAATAAGGACAAGCAAAGGTGCTCAATATCCCTAACCATTAGGGGGCTGCAAATCAAACTATAATTAGACTAGCTCATACCCAGTAAGATAGTTGCTATAAAAAAAAAAAAAAAAAAAAAAAAACCAACCTAAAAAACAGAAAACAAGTGTGGCAAGGATATAGAGAAATTAGAACTCTTGTGCCTTGTTGATGAGAATGTAAAATGGTATAGAAGCTGAGAAAACAGTAAGGCAGTTCTTTAAAAAAAATAGAATTATCATATGAAGAAGCAAATTCTCTTCTAGATATATACACAAAATAATTGGAAGTAGGCTCTTGAAGAGATATTTGTATACATGTATTCATAGCATTTTCACAATAGTTAAAATACGGAAGCAACCCAAATACCCATTGACAGATGAATGTGTAAGCAAAATGTGGTATATACATACAATGGAATATTATTCAGCCTTTAAAATTAAGGATATTCTGACATATACTATATCCTATTACATGGAATCTGAGGATATTAGGCTAAGTGAAATAAACCAGTAACAAAATAGCAAATACAACATGATTCCATTAATATGAAATCTCTAGAGTAGTCAAAGTCGTAGAGACAGAATGGTGCTTTCCAGTGGATGAGGGAAGGGAGAAATGAGAATTTATTGTTTAATGAGTATAAACTTTCAATATTATACACTACTGAACTGTATATTTAAAATGTATTTAACACTACTGAACTGTATATTTAAAATGTATTTAGCACTACTGAACTGTATATTTAAAATGTTTAGGATGGCAAATTTTATATTATGTATATTTTAAAAGTTTTTAAAATTTTGAGAGAGGAGTAGGCTCTCTAGAATGACCAAATGGGAATTATCCCAGGGAGGCAAGGTTGGTTTTACAGCCAAAAATCAATTAATGCAATACACTATATCAATAGAATAAAGGTCAAAAAACGCACATGAACATCTCAACAGATGCTGAGGGGGAAAAACAACCACATCGGTTCTGTTCATACATTATTTACAATAGCCAAAATATAAAAGCAACAATCCAAGTGCCCATCCATAGACAAATGGATAAAGAAGATGTGGTACGTATATGACTGGAATATTACTTAGCCATAACAAAAGAATGAAATCTTGCCATTTGCAACAACATGCATGGATCTATAGGGTATTATGCTAAGTAAAATAAGTCAGACACAGAAAGACAAATACCATATGGTATCATTTATTGTGAAATCTAAATAAAATAAAATAAAATAAACTCTTAGATACAGAGAACAAATTGATGCTTATCTGATGGGAGGGGGTTTTGGGTCATAGAAAAAGGTAAAGGGATTAAGGCATACAAATTACCAGCTATAAAAACAGTTGCAGGGATGTGAAATACAGCATAGAGAATATAGTCAATAATAGTGTATGATGTCAAATGGGTACTAGACTTATGGAATAATAAGTCTTAAGTTAGATAAATGTCTAATCACTATGTTGTTCACCTTAAACTAATATAATACTGTATGTTAACTGTAATTGAAAAGTAAAAAAATAGCCAAGACCAGTTTGGCTCAATGGATAGAGCGTTGGCTTGCGGACTGAAGGGTCCCGGGTTCAATTCCGGTCAAGGGCATGTACCTTGGTTGCGGGCATATCCCCAGTAAGGGGTGTGCAAGAGGCAGCTGATCGATGACTCTCTCTCATCGATGTTTCTAACTATCTCTCTCCCTTCCTCTCTGTACAAAATCAATAAAATATATATTTTTTAAAAAAGAAAGAAACGTAAAAAAAATATATATTTTTAAAGGACATTATAAGAACAGAGGAGAAACAAATGGTCGAATTTCATTGCATGAGGGAGAAATGCCCTCCTGAGACCACCTTGAAGAAGAAAAAAACAACAACAAGAAATAGAAGAAAGGCTAGGGAAGAGAAAAGGGCTGAAGGGAAGAAGGTGGGGGGAGAGAAGGGAGGGGAGAAGAAGGTTGGGAGAGGAAGGGAGATACCCTATTCACTATAAACCTGAAATCAGAGTACTGTCTCCTCTTGCAGAATAGGAAGGAGAGGACAGAGGTCGATTTCCCTCTCCTAGATGCTCTTTAATTGGAGGAAGATTCCTGACAGAGACGTAGAGATGCAAGTAGCAGAGAAGACAGGATCAAACCAAACCTGAGCAGAATGCCTTGGTGAGTAAAGAATACCTAACAGTTTCTTGCAAATCAAAGACCCTTACAGAAAGCTGCTCATTTTGAGAGTTGTAAGATTTTAACCCATAAGGAAACTGAAGAATTATTAAAATGATTTGTGCTTTATAGCAAGGACACAACTATTGGTATAAATGAAGTGCTCTGAAGATGTTGTAAGATATTGTGGGCAGGGGAAGCCATCCATTTACATTCCCAGAGCTTTACTTTATTAAGTGCTTTGAGTGGTTATTTTTTCAAAGTCTTCTTCCCTTCTCTTCTGAGTGCACTTCTAGCACAGCATGCTAAAGTTCTATTCATGAAGAAGAATCATTTTTTTCTTCATAATGATCTAGAAGAGACACAACCTAGTGACTTGCTTTCTGGAGCATTGATTTGTAAAAGAGAAATGACCTACAGGGTGCCTTTGGTGAAAACAGTTCTTTCTCTCTGTTTAGCTTCCAGAACTGCAACAGTCTGACCTTTCAGTGCTATTAAAGGCTAAACCCCAGGGGAGGAGGGGAGGGTAACTGGGGGGCCAGTTATAGTTGATAGTAATGATTCTTTGTGCAGACTTCCTGCACTCTGGCTTTGGGGTGACACTTTTTATTCACCCTTTTGAACTTTCTTTTGGGACACACACACACACACACACACACATATAATTAATTTTAATTTTCACCCAAGGATATATTTTATTTATTTTTTATTTTTTATTTTTTATTTTATTTTATTTTTTTAGAGAGAGAGAGAGAGGAAAGGAGAGAGATTGTTGTGAGAGAGAAACATCAATTGGTTGCCTCCTGAACATGCCCTGATTGGGGATAGAACTGGCAACCTAGGCATGTGCCCTGACCAGGTATCAAAACCTCACTTATTGGTGATGCTCCAACCAACTGAACCACCGGCCAGGACTGGTTTTTGATATGCACATGACTGTCACCACTAAGTCTTCTTACCCTGGAAAGGGAGGCCTTCCAGAGAGAATCCCCTCAGGGCAGCTCATGTTTCCATTTCAGAACTCCAATCACAACTTTGTGGTATTGTACAGAGAGGTGATTTGCCCATGGTTCCCTTCTTCTTTTAAAAATTCTAGTACATACAGAGAAAGAATCAGAATATTATGATGATCATCCAATATCCATCACCTAAAATTTGCCATATATTTTTTATTTTTTATTTTCTTCTTTTTTTATGCTGCAGTAATTTAAAGGAAGTTTAGGTATGTATTTTTCAACCCTAAATACTTCAAAATTCATTCAGAAATAATTAATACATCTTTGTTAGGTAAACACAATTCTGTTGTCACATTTAACAAGATTCACATAATTTTTCAATAAATTCATATATTCCCTATTGTAAAATTTATTTATTTATTTATTTAGAGAGAGAAGAAGGGAGAGGAGAGAAACATTTACATGAGAGCTAAACATTGATGGGCTGCCTCCTGCACGCCCCCTATCGGGGATAGAGCCCACAAAGAGTACAATTCAGAGGCACTAAATACCTTTACAATGTTATACATCCACTACCACTATTTCCAGAAGATTTTCATTATACCAAATAAACCCTATACCCTTTAAGAATATAACTCCCCAGTTATCCCAAACAATCTTTTAAAGATGGTGAATTCAATAAGCTTTACATATTTCATTTGGTTGTTGCATTTCTTAAGATTTCTAATCTAGAACTGCCTCTTCTTGCCACACTCACATATATTTTATTTTCATGACATTGACTTGTTGACAATTCTGGCCAATTGTTCTGTAGAATGTCCCACCTTCTGGATTTGTCTGATTGTTTTCTCATGGTGTTGTTAAACATGTTCTTCTGTCTTCTGTATTTCTTATAAGCTCAAAGAAAGACTTGATAAGAATCAGGTTAAACTTTTTTATTAGAATTCTTCCTACTGCATCGTATTAGGCTCTACCTAATGTCTGGTTGTTCCCCTATTGATGAGGCTAATATTAGTTACTGAGTTAAAAATGGGTTTTTAAAAATGGGTTCTTAGCTACTTGCATAATTATCTCTACTTTGAATGTTCAGATAAAGGGACTCTGAGATGTTGCCTGGCACCTAGGAGACAGCCTTTATCCAGTATAAAGGAAAGAGGATTAAGAATGAGGCTTTATGCTTTTTATGGAGTACTAGTGGTCGGTGCATGAAATTTGTGCACTGGAGGTACAGAAGGGTGATCTCCCTCTGCCAGGCCTGCTCTCTCTCGCAGTTCAGGATCCCTCAGGGGATGCCCATAAGCCGGCAGTCAGAGATCCCTCTTGCAGTCCTGGGCTCATTCCCCCATTTGGTCAATTTGCATATTAGGGTTTTATAATATAAGATATGCAAGTCTCCAAATTTATTGCTAAGGGTGGCCAATCAATGCAGAAATTTTTGGAATATGAAGTCCAGCAGAGACTACTTTTTCTCTGGGCCCAAAAGAAAATACTCTGAAATTCATTTTTAGCCAGAATTTAACCATGGAGAAGTATTATAGATCTCTTTGCTAACAATTATTAAAGACAGTGAAATCACTTTGGGACTTTAGATACAGAAGAATCTTTTATGGCATTTTACAATAATTCCCTATTCACCTTCAACTCCCCCACCCCTGCCAAACAACAACAACACTTTAAACTCTAGAATAAAAAAATTAGGTCATTTTCTTTGAATGCAGATAGCAGATCTTTAGATGTTTCTTGAGTACTGTTTAAATTTTAGAACAAGGAAAAATATGTATCTGCTCTCTCTCTCTTTGATATTTACCTTTTGTCTTTTAGCTACTATAAACTTAATAACTGATCCGTTGAAAATATAAGCATGTAGGTTAAAGGATCTTATTATTTCTTTACTTATTTATTTATAAATATATATTTTATTGATTTTTTTACAGAGAGGAAGAGAGAGGGATAGAGAGCCAGAAACATCAATGAAAGAAACATCGACCAGCTGCCTCCTGCACCCCCCCCCACTGGGGATGCGCCCACAACCAAGGTACATGCTCTTGACTGGTATCAAACCTGCAACCCTCCAGACCACAGGCCAATGCTCTATCCACTGAGCCAAACCGGTTCTGGCAGGATCTCATTATTTAAACTAAGAATTTTGGTTTCTAAAGTTATTTTTAATCTCCATATAAACACTTTTATTTTACAGCAATTAAATATCCAAGTCAGTTGCCGGGACGGGTTTGGCTCAGTGGATAGAGCGTCGGCCTGCCGACTGAAAGGTCCCGGGTTTGATTCCCGGGCAAGGGCATGTACCTTGGTTGCGGGCACGTCCCCAGTGAGGGCTGTGCAAGAGGCAGCTGATCAATGATTCTCTCTCATTGATGTTTCTAACTCTCTATCCCTCTCTCTTCCTCTCTGTGAAAAATCAATAAAAAATATATTTAAAAAAATTATATATATATATATATATATATATATATATATATATATATATATATATATATATCTCCAAGTCAGTTAAACTCTGCTCAAGGTTGCCAAATATTTCTGGATACCCAGAGGGAATTTGGGGTTATTATTGCTTTGAGTATGTTTGTTTGTTTTTTATTATTTTGTTTTTAAGCTAACACAAAGATAGGGGAGTTGTGAATTTTCTGCATAGCAGTACAGAATTTAACCATAGGATACTAGACTAACAATTTTCATTTTACTACTGGAATTAGTAATATTCTTTTTCTTAACTGTTATGTAATTTTTAAAGATTTTGGCTTCAAAGTTACTAGTTGGATAGGGAAGGTTGTGCAGGTCCCTTTGATAAATTAGTTCTGCAACAAAAGTACTACCAGAAGGCCTAGCAACACTTTCCTGTCACCTTCCATTGGGGATTACTTCATTTGGTGAAGACCCCACCAGTGGAATACAAAACAAATCAGTGGAAAAGGTCAGCCATCCTTTCCCTTTTCTTCCCCCCCACTCCTCTTCTTTTCTCTTTCCTCTTCTTTTCTTCTTCTTCCTCCTCCTCCTCTTCTTCTTCTCTTCTTGTCCCTCTTCCTCCTTGTTTTGTTAAAGAGTATTGTTTTTTTAATCAAATCACAACAAAACTGGCTTGTCTGCTCTCAGAGCTTCCCAAATTATCAAATGTCTGTCCCTCACTCTGACCAGTCCTATATTTTCTCTTCTCTTCATTGTCACTCATCCTAGGTTGTCATTCTTCAGTGACTCCTCTTATTCCCATCACATTTTGTATTCCCTAAAAATTCCCTTCCTCGCATCAGTCCATGGCATGTCACTGAATACTCAATAGAATCGAAGGAGTGAAAGAATGAATCCAGCAGAGGAATCCTAAACCTGTATTGTGAACTCCCTCTGCCCAACTCCATTTGTTTTGAACTGCCAGCTCTGGTTTCCTGTCTGGATTCTCTAGGCTCTCGGCGTTCTATAAGGATAACCAAACGTTATCCTTATAGAACACCGATAGCCGGGCTAAAACCGGCTCTCCGATATCCCCCGTGGGGTCCCGGATTGCGAGAGGGCACAGGCTAAGCATCCCAGGAAGGTTCTGGGGCATGTCCAGCCTGTTTACCCAGTCCCGATTTGCTGGACCCCAGCAGCAAGCTAAGCTACCCGTCGGAGTGTCTGCCCCCTAGTGGTCAGTGCATGTCATAGTGAGCAGTTGAGTGGCCTTAGTATATTATTAGCATAGCATAGCATAGCATAGCATAGCATAGCATAGCATAGCATAGCATAGTATAGTATAGTATAGTATATTAGGTGTCAATAGTATATTATTGACACCTAATATACTAAGTGTCCAGTCAACAGCCGACCAGATGACTGGACACTTAGTATATTAGGCTTTTATTATATAAGATAATGGAATTACTTGAATCATGCCCAGTACTTTAAAAAAAAAAAAAAAAGTCTAGAAGACTGTATATATAGTCACAACAAACTGGACCAGGTTGACTAAATAATGGAAAACTTCTTTCCTTTTTTAAGGAGTGGGCAACTGAAAGATGGGGAGATAAGCCACACTAACTTCCTACAAAGGCTGTA